CTGGCTGGGGAATTCTGGGAGTTGAGGTCACACATCTCCAAGCGGCCAAGGTTGAGACACACTGCGGTAAAGTGTGAGAGCAACCAGCTACAGGAGACAGATGTTGACTGAGATTGGAAAACAGAGAATCCTGGCCCTTCCTGCCCAACCATTTCACCTTGTGGTCTCCCTTCCTCAGGTGAGAGCTGTCGGACCGATGGGACCTATGGCTACGATGCTGATTTCAGTTGCTGCAGCTCCTTGTAAGTCCTGCTCTTGTGATGGCTAACGAACAGCAGGTCCAAGTGGACCATCGCGGTATCTTCTTAAAGGCTGACCTCCAGAAATAATCTGCTGGTGGTGATCCTGGCAAAGAGGGAGGGGAATTCCCAGCACGACCCCCAAATGTCCCTTTCCAGCCCCACCGTGACACAGAGGGAGACAGCTGCTTTGAGGACATCACGGAAAAGCAACCATATTGCAGAAGCATTTTGATTGCAGGCTTGCAGAAGAATGCTGGTGGGAGTTTGTTATTACAGCACCCGGGGGGCATTTGGGAGGAGGGTCAAAAAAGTCAAAATGGCAGCTGCAATTGCACCATTGAAGTCATGCCCTCTTCTATGTGCAAACATGTAGAAAAGAGGCAGGGTTTTGATTGTACACTGGCAGCGTCTGTCTTGGTTATTTGGACCCCCCAGCCCACCTTGTGGACATCATGCCATGAAGTTTTGTGGAGAGGAAACAGGAAGGAAATACGGTTTGCTAATCCACCTTAGGCAGCAAAATGTTTGGGCAAAGGTGGATACTCCCACCACTTCTCCCCTTCTTTGAAGCTGACAGCACAACTATTACCACGGGAGGTATCTTCTGTTCCAGCGCATTCCACTGTTAACGGAAATAAGGCCTGTCTTGTTCTAAGATTCCTACAATCTCCCTGGAGGCCGCCACATTTTGCCGATCTTGGTTGATCTTGGAAAGCTAAGCAGGATCTGTCAGGCTTCAGGTGGACTATAAACAGCAAAACTTGGCTATCTAGAACATACTTAACCCCTTATGCAGGAATTGGCATCCTTGGCAGAAGGTTGTCAGGCACAGCATGGCTAGATTAGACTCTTCATTGCAGACAAGGATGAAGCCTTCGACCCACAGATGATCCAGCCCCTGCAGCATGGGTCTGGGCTCCAGGGTTTCAATTCCAGGCTGCTCCTTCTGCCTTCCCGAGTCAACAGATACTTGGGCATTCTCTTTGGGGGCACCTGCTCCAGGTTGACATGATGGTGCTCTCTAGCTGAGAAGCACTGGTTCCAGTCTTGCCAGCTTCATTCCTTACAGCATCTGGCCTGTTTTATACGTGGATGGGAGGCCAAAAACCTCAGAACTAAAGTGGGACATTGAAAAACCTTGTCAGAAGACAGGAATGGCAAACCGCTTCTGTATAACTGCCAGGAAAACTAAACTGCTGGTCTCTGCAGGATCAGAGATCTTTGTCGAAACGATGATCAGCACAAGCTCTTCCCCTTTCATGCATGCATATATACAACATGATGGCACATACGGATGGGGTTTGTCTTGTGTTGGCACAACACTCCTTTTGTCTTTCAACCTCCTTATGGACCAGAGGTGTCTGCAGGACATAGTGAAAAAAGTCAAGATGGTGGCCATGATGGTGTGACTGAAACTCCACCTGTTTTTAAAGCGTGTTGTGTGTGTGACACGCATAAAAATCAGGTGGAGCTTAGAGTGCACCATCGTAGCCGCCATCTTGATTTTATTTTAACCATATCCCTGCAGTCTTGGGTATGATTCCAACCCTGGGATGACCAGAAGGGCATCTTCCGTCCTTCCACCCAGCCTGCATCTGGGTGGCAACTTGGGGCTATGGGAACCGCCCTCCAACACAGCTAGAGGGCCCCAGATTCTGGGAAACTGGCTTAGTCCCTCACCTTGGGTCCAAGTGAAGCAAGAACCTTTTTTCCTATCAAATTCTGAACTTCCCACTCTGTTGTCTTTCGTTCCTCTTGCAGCGATGGCTCCCATGAGACGTTTGAGGCGTACTGCAGTGGGGCTTCCTCCCCTTTGCTTCACCAGTCGCATCACAGCCTGGCAACAGCCTGCAGCGGGAGTGACCAGAGCAGCACCAGCCTTGAGCAACTGCAGGACTACATGATGACGGGAAGTTGGGGTTCAGGGTTGGGGGGAGGCTGAGAGGGGTCTAGTGACATCAGGTCCATTATGACAGAATTTGCATCATTTGCACTATGGTGACCTGCCAATGTGTGTTGCACTAAAAGCGAGGGACTTGACGCACAAGGTGGCAGTCATGGGCGTGTGATGGAAGCCCCCAACCCTCTCCCACAGTTGCCACTATTTCTCTGAGCTAAGGGGAGCCCGATTTAAACTCATTAGATCAAAGGTAGTTCATTAATGATGTGATTTTAATTACATTTAATTGAATCAAATTTAGAGTTGGAGCTCAACCCAAGCCAGAGGTGGCCTTTCACTCCTGCCAGCGTTATGCATCTGTGCTCCCCCTAAAATGCAATGCGCCATAAGTCCAACTTTCTTCATGGATTTGCCGTATCCTGCAGCTTCAACCTGACCTCAACCTGCCACCCTCCAAAAGTTGCCTTCTCCTCTCATTCGGAGGGTCTGAGTTTGGGGAAATTGCTCTCTTCCTTAAACCAGCATCTTCCATTAGACCAGTGTTTCTCAACCTTAGCAACTTTAAGATGGGTGGGCTTCAACTCCCAGAATTCCCCAGCCAGCCTGGCTGGCTGGGGGATTCTGGGAGTTGGAGTC